TCTAAAATGCTCTAAAACGTTTTCTAACAGATTTATAAGTTTCTGATCTTAGTTTCGCCTACCTTAGTGCAAGACTCGCTAACTTCAATGATTTGTCTACATTTCTTCAACAGCCTGGAATCACTTATTTTCCACGTTCCAGAACATTTTTGAACAGACTTATAATTTTTCTTAAAAAGAATCTTACATCTGAGTGCATTCCCCACCCTCGTGGGCGAAGCTTCGATATGTTTCGTATGCTCAACATGCTCACTGCTTTTTTTTGGCCTCCATGCCTTCGTTGGGTTGATTTATAAGCCTTCCTGGAAAACATCGCCCATTGTGAAAACGCTCCGCAAACGGTGAGCCTCCTTCACCTATCCTGTTAACTAATCCCTCGATTTTTCGCAGCGTCTAGGCTGTTATGAAACCGGATCGAGGCGCTTTGCTCCTGTGCATGTCCAGCTTCCTGTGGTATGAGCTTCGCTGAGCTAACATGTACTCTGTTGGTTTTGCCCTATCCCCAACCCATCCCAAACTTGATCTTTTGCAGATGCTTCTTCAGAAAACATCGATTTTTCGTATAAACAAACAAAGAAGCAAACAAACAAACAGACAGGAGCAAGCGCGTTATATATAGTGAGGATTATTATTATGAAAATTACGCATTTGTGCATTGTACGCAATTACAAATATCCAAGGGCACAGTAGCAGGCGAATTTAATAAAATAATGGCTCCGATCAACCTAGATTCGTTATTACAACAAAACTAGTCAACAAACATGACAACAAAATGATCTATGATTAAGTCAGAAATTAGGAGCATGCAGTAAAGAAGTAATAGCGAAATCTTCAACCAGGAAGCGCAAGCGAGTTCTTGAAGGAATTCAGTTTGTTTTGAAGATTTCTTTTTTCTCAAAATTTCAACATTTTCCTTAGACGAGGTGTTACTCTAATGAAGAAATATTATATTTTGGCCTTTGAGTACTCACACTGCAACTTGCACCTGATTTCGACTTTTCAACGTCGCTATGCCTACTGCTTTCCATAATATGCCCAAGTAAACTCCGAGGGCAACACTACAAGGCGTTGACTGGTCAGCCTAGTACGTTCTGCGCCTACATTTCGTTTAAGGATAATGTCAAATTACCGTTAGAAGTGATGTTGTGATTGTGTGCATGAAAAGCCTTCTGATTCCAAACTGACTGCGCTATTGAGCAGAGAGAGCAGCTTGCGCCACCATGATGTTTTCAGTTCATTAGAAATTTGTAATAAAAGTTATGAAAGCACAAACTTAATGCCTTCTACAAAGAGCACGTAAGTTTAAATACTTAAGTAACGTTGAGTTGCCTCTAGCCGGAAAAGGGATCCTAGTTGTATGCACGAGTGGAACAACTGACAAATAAAATGGCAATCATGCGTGTTTACTGTCTGTTTCTGTTAATGACAGTATTTAGTTATTTATTACTGGTTATTGAGTACCGTTGGCTAAGACGCACTGATTACGTATAATTAAACAGGCGCTATACATTTGCTCATACGTGCGCTTCTATTTTACTTCTAATCCAAAATAAATATCAAGTTTTGAGAAGAATCAGTAAAATCAGTAAAAGTAGAATCAGTAATCAGAAAAGAATTGCAGAAGGAACGGTAATTCAGAATTTTAGGATGTAATCGGACACCAGAAAGATGCATCGCCAAATGACTACCGTAAGATATGCAAAATCTACGGATGCTCTACGTGTGCGGGCGGTAAAGTGGATCTGGAAGACAAAGAAGGTCAGGGTAGCCGCGACAAAGATGGAGACGATGACCACGACTCAGTCACGGAGGTTCCCATCGTGATACCTACTGGAGGTTGGTGATAAGAGTTCCTTGTAACATCGTGTTCATAATGCTTATCAAAATTGGTTCAAATTTGAATAACTTAAAAAGCCCACATTGAAGCATTGAGCACTTTTGATGGCTGTCTTGATGATGGAGCTCCTAAAGAGAAATGGAAATGAAGCATGTATTTTGGAACAAGTGGTGGTCTGGCTCAAACGCATGGCGCCTCGTGACGAATGCGTTCGAGGCTAACCTCACTACGATTTAGGATTATTCATATTACGGCGACAAATAAAGGGGAAAGTGGAGAATAGTACGATGGAAGCGAAGAAACGCACGAAAGCACGCGAATCGATGTTTTCAAAGTGATAAGTGGCTTCGGAAAAGTCGTTAAAAAAGTGGTTGAACGAGAATAAGATCAGAAAATTGAAATAGAAGGGATATTTGGACGAGCTATAAAATGTGAACCATGCTGTCGTGTTCTTGTGGGTCCTGGTGCGAACAGTGACTAGGGTGAGCAAAAGTGTCCCCTAAAACTCATGAGCTATGGATTATCTTACTATAGAAAATTCGCTAAGTGTTGGTGTGTCGATGTGTTTGCTGTGTACGTGTATTTAAGTTTGTGCTTGACTGTTAGTCATTACTGCTGCTTCCGTGGAACTAGTGCACTGAAATATAAGGGCTACAGGTGGCAGGATAACGACAACAGCTGAGGGAAACAGAAAGGGAAGCTAAAAAAGCAAGAGCCTTCTGCACCTAGCAGGAGACTTCTGCACGGCCATACATACACAACGAACTGCATTTTTCATCTTACAGAAATTTACCAGAAATATAGTTATTTTATTCACCCTGAACGGAAATAAAGCTCCTGAAATCACTGATGTCGGAACCTTTACGTTCAAAATTCTGAATTCCTATAAAAGCTTCTATTTCGTCATTATTCTCATCAATTAGTAACCTTCAACTAAACTGATAACCATGTGCAGGCAGTACCATAACCTGAGCTCTTTGCACCTAATTAAGGTTGATTGAAAGCTAGATGGGAGGTGGCGCTAGTTAGGTGCGATCGTACAGAAGTTCACATCCTTTATTCATCTCTTTTATGCATTAACTAGAGAATTCCCCTTTGGTGCCGTCAAATGTTGTGTATGTGGATGAAGCTCCCGGTTTACATGTGCCCTTTTCATCTTGCCCTATACCTCACCCATCACAAACTTCCGACCTTTAGAGGTGTTTTGGGGATAGGGTATTATATCGTATGTTCTCAAGGTGGTGTATAATATTGTATCTCGTGGCAAAGAAGAGACAGAACTACAACCCGACAGATCAAGCTCTCTGTACATGAAACAAATTATATCGTTCGGCTCACACCTAGCTCTCCCTCCATTTTCTATATGCTTCCTCCACATCTCTTGTGTTCGGGAACTTGGCTGATTCCTAACTTGCTGTTGGTACAATTTGGCTGCTCATTTTTACTGTGGATGGGCTAACCTCGCGAATGCTTTGCCCGCCCTCTCTCCTGGTCCGGCTATTGTCAGTGGCTTCCTCCTAACTCAATACTTCTGGCCTGTTTTACATCTAGATTTGTTCGGGCAGGATGCAGAAGAACAAATATATGACTTTCGCTCAAAACGCACCCTTAGACACAACGTGTACACCCTGCTCGCTCTGAACAAAGTCCAGCGCAACGTAAGTAAATTCAAATAGCTCGGCTCATTCCTTACTCATTTAGACTTGTCTTCTCATTTCTACCCTTGCAAGTGCCTATTTATTTCGCGCGAGCGAAATGCAGTCCTGCCTCCTACCATCAGCGTTCCCATTATGCATTCTGTATCCGTTTCTAATTCAAATACTTTAGGTCCACGGGAATGCGGATTATTTATACCACTAAAACAAACATTTCGTGCACGCCCCGCCCATCGTGGGCGTGGTACAGAGCACGAGCGTAGACTATTTGTGGTTCATGGAAAAATTTTGCAAGTTTTAGGAAACTGTGTGGATTCGATGGGTTCATTTTGTCGGACGATGGCCAAAGTGGGGATGCTCGACTGTGGCTACTTTGGCCGACGGCACTGCTGTGCGACTTGTTCTACTCAAAGTAGCAAATGGATAGATCCTTTCCAAGGATTTGACAGCTTCTTTCGTCGATTTCGTTTTTGATTCTGCATAGAGCGCTGGTCTATGTTCTTCAGGTCTGAATAGAATTTACAAACCTTTCTGTAAATTCCTCAAACAAGAAGTCACTAATAATAGCAATGAATAAAGATGTACAAAATAGTTTACGTTGTCCCGCATGGGGAGGGTACGCGTAGGCATGATTCATGGAGGCTACAGTGTTACAGTCGCTGAAAACGTGGGGCAGTATCTTGGAAGAGCTCCCCAGCTTTATCCTTTTCAGGAGATTGACCTTTCGGTGTCGAAATTACAGCATCGATCATTCTATAGAGCCTTGCTAAAATGCATTTAGTTGTTCGTGAGACTTGGATCATAACGAAGTTGTGAGACGCATTGCAAAGCAAGCCCTACGATGCGTGCAGTCCTACCCTTTCTCACTACAAATTCCACTCATTCATTATTGTTCTCCTGATTGATGGCCAATGGCTGCATGTCGGCTGCGCTACATTACAAAACGGGAGCCAGTTGTCTGATGCAAGCCGCTCTGTTACGATGGAAGAACTTCAATCGTGAGAAACTTTAACACTTGTGAAATCAATGCATATTAATTATCTTCTGAAAACGAGTAATCGCTTCCTGTATCGTGCGACATAGCAGCAGGACCATATGATCGCGATTCCGGCACAGGAGGATCTTTTGGAAAGTTTGGGCGAGTACGCTTTGCTGATGCGTGATGCTGTTGTCGTTTCTGGAAATTTACAGAAAATAATTTTCAAAATCCTTGAAATATCCTGCGCAAAAATCATATGCCGGTCTACGCTTCGCAGGCCTAAAGAGTTGAGTCTATTAGTTTGAAGCTGAGGCTTGAGGATTTTTAGTGTAACTAAGTTTTATTGAGGTTCAATCTAAATTAATGAACAATTCACGATTACTCAACCCATCTGTCATAGGGCTTACCGCCCAGATAGGCAGTATCATTGCATAATATTTCTGTTTACCAGAGTGACTGTCGAAGCCTATATAGACACTTCCTCAACTTGGGTTGACAATTTTTTGTATCTGTGGTTCCTCCAATAAACGATCTACGCCTCCACAACAACATCACTGAATTATATGAGCTTTCATTTCTCAAAACGTATAGTTATCCAGAGTTTCGAGCCTAATTCAGCGAATGCCATAGCACAAAAGTGGAAATTAAAGATTAGGTGGGCCGCGTACATTATGCGGTATCGTGGCGACCATTAGACCGTTTTTGATTGTAAGTGGACGGTTACTGACTGCATCATGCAGAACGACAAGCGAACACCAACGACACGACACCAACCAGGATGGTAGCCTGTGTGATGGTCAGAGTTCTTCACGAAAACTATGAAAGATAAGAATGCTGAGCCTCCCTCTGTCCCTCAAGCGAGGAAAATTCATTGGACCACTCTGGCTCGAGACCGGGACGAATGAAGACTCTACCGACGCCCGCTCGAGGAAGTCGATAGTCAAGACAGGTGATACAGGTGATACGTATAGTGATCGGGGCTGCGAAAAAAATCTAAATGAGGAGTGCAACGACGAAGGAGACGTAGACTCAGCAAAGGATTTCTGTGGCGAATTTTGAAATGCATATTCTGCATCTTCGTTAACATTGCTTTCTGGCACAAGCATGTTGCCATGAGCAAAGTATCCATCGGAGTCGGCTACCCATCGGAAGTCAGGTTTGAAACATGAGAAAGTATTATAGTCCTGACGGTCGTCAGATTTCGTCCCACAGCTTGTCATATTTGAAGAGTAATGGACTCAGTTGACGGTAAATGGCCAAAGGGTCTATTTCAGCACAATATTACGCAGTCTATTGGGAGTGAACTCTTCAACCAATCTCTAGCCTTACACATAAAAGGGCCGACAGCCGTTCGAGCTTTCCGCATCGGTACATTCGTTTATCTTACCTCATCTCAAAGTCATATACTCAATGTTTGGACAGTCATGAGAATTTGTCAACACCCCAGAAGCGAGCCCACTCGATTCTTGTATTTATCATAATCCACTTATTGAAAGTTATTGGCCGAAGTTACTAGACAAAGAATTCACAGTGCATGAATTTTACACTCAACTATTCATGACGTTAATCCTCCACGTTGTACTCTTAGCACCATAAGCTGTACACTTGAGAAATCACAATTGTGCAGCTTAAGAAGTCAAAAGTTACGAACAATATACAATTTTAGTTATTCTCCCTTCTCTTTTTCAAGAAAGATATTCGAAGCTTTTGAAAAGGCTCTGACCTGTACTCGTCTTTTGAAAAGTTCTGTCTGCTCGTGAACCAACTCGGTTTCAGAAATGTAGTACGGGTCGTTATTGAATGTTTTCTCCAGCGCCTCCATTGTTACCAAAGGTGTCGTCGGGCTCCTTATCAGCTCAGTTGGACATACCTGCAAACATTTGATCAATAAGGGATCTCAAGTTGAGTCTGATTGGATGATAATAGTGTTGTGAGAAACTTAGGGACGAAACCAAGTTTTTATACCTCTGTCGGATAGCAGAGCTGAAACGAAATTTACGCCACACCAAGCGACGTCTCCTACTAGGGTGTGCGATCACCACGGACAGCAAAATACTCTGCATTCCCATACTTTCGAGGTTGGTAAGGAGTTCCTGCGGTAGGGCATTCCTTTCCTCTATAAGCGCAATTGACAATTGCTGTATGGTCACTGGTGCATTTGGACTTGCTGCAATGGGTCTGCCCAATGCATCCCACACGTTCTCAATGAGATTCAGGTCGGGAAACCGGCAGGACACTTTATTCGCCGAATATCCTCTTGTGCCAGGAGTTCCTCCAACTGAGTTCAATGCGGTTGTGCATTGTCATCCACAAAAATAAATTCAGGGCCCCCTGCAGCCCTGAAAAGACGCACATGAGGAGGAGTCACCCAGAGCTGACTGTGAGGGTTCCGAGCTCAAAAATCTGGAGGTCACTACGGCTATGCATCGTGATGCCTCCCTATCCATAACACCTCGACCACCAGAACGATCACGATCGACACTGTTTCTGGAAGCGTCGCGTGTTCCTACCTCTTGTCTCACGAATGTGCGTCCAAAATCGCTACTCAAACTAAATCTGCTCTCATCTAAAAGGCACACGGTTCCATTCCTCATCGGTCCATTCGCTATGCTTCTACCACCACCCTAAACGGTTTCATAGATGCGTGAGGATCAAGGGAACATAACGTAGCGGTGCCGGGCGAACAGGCCGCCACCGTGCAGTCGTCTTGCCTTTGTAGTGCGTAAGATGGCTTGCCTTGGAGTCGTGCTAAATGTCATCGCAATAACAGAAACTAACAAGGACTCTTCTTGTCTGCTGCCCAATGAAGCAGTCATCCCTTGGAGGGTGATCCTAGTCGACCACCTCCTCTCCTCAGTAGCAGAGGTGCGGAATGCTCTCCATGCACGTGAACC